GCCCCCCAGCTTTCCTGGTTGCCGAGTTGAAAGTGGGTGACAAAATGCACTCGCATTGCGAACACGTACACACACACAGACAGCCTCTCGACAATATGCGTTTTTGCTGGAAAAAACGATGCTATAGCGCTGCACAGCAAAAACGCATAAAAATGAATAGCAGCGCGCACCAAAATAGCCGGTGGGACATGCGTTTTGTGCAATTCTGCCCACCACGAGCGATTGCCTGTTAATGATTTTCACTGCTTTGTACTTTAGTCTGTGCAAAAAGAACGTTAAACCTCGAAGGATGAATATCTTTTCAAAATTTCAATCGCCTAATTTTCTGGCTTTCGAATGATATTTGCAACAAAACTTTCTCGTGTTCGTACGTGAGGGCTGGGCATACTTAGGAGCTGAATTCGAGTTTGTGAAGCCCCTGCTTAAGTAAGAAATATTTTCCTGAAATTATCAGCCTCCTAACTCTTCCGGTTCCTGAGATAATGAATTTTCTCGCCATAACTTCCACGGGGACGCTGAAAATTTGCGGGGTTGCACGTGGCCAGAGGATGTCACTCTAAAATTTCAGCTTCCTAGATTCCGTGGTTCCTGAAATAATAATTTACCTGCCAAAATTTTCACAGGGCCATTCGTATTACCCGTGGACACGAGAAGGCTGAATTTAACTTTTTGGATCGCATGTGGGTAGGGGATATGCCCACAAAATTTCAGCCTTCTAGCTCCCGTGGTTGCTGTGATGATAATTTTACCCACCGAGACTTTCACGGGAGCATGCATGTTACCCCTGGACAAGCAAGGGCTGTATTTGAATATGCAGAGTCGCACGTGGGTAGGGAGATACCTCTAAATTTTCAGCTTCTTAGCTTTTGTGGTTCCCGATTTGAAAGTTGCGGACAAGTTGCTGCACACACATGCACACAGACACGCACACACACACATGCAAATGCACACGCATACAAACACATACAGACTACCCGTGACAATATGTGTTTTTGCTGCTGTTACACAGCACAAAACGCATAATTAGTCTTACTGCCTCAGTGTCATGATGTTTTATGATGAAACATGATGCTGAGGAATTCATGATCACTGACGAAAGCAGAACAAAATTTGTTTGTAATGAAGAGTGCAGTTTGTGCTTTTTGAAGTTATTTCAGCGTATTTTCTAGTGCTGATTTTATGAGTGGATATTAATTTTTTTTAGGAGTCAAGGGACGCTTTCTGATTTACTGAGAAATCCAAAACCGTGGAACAAATTGAAATCAGGAAGGGAAACGTTTAGACGAATGTATAATTGGGTACAGCAACCGGTGGAATCGCGGCTTTCCATCCTGGATATGTGCAAAGGAAAAAGTATGTTGTTTTCACCAGTTGCTGTTTCGTAATTTTTTATTATTTCAGTATTCAGTATGAGGCGTTTTTACCTGTTTTCAAAAATTTTTACCGAACATTATAGATATAGATTCAAACTGCGAACTGCAGCTGATCTAGTTGCAGTAATTTAATTAGTTATTTCTCGGTACACACTATGAACTCCTTTACGCATAGGTGATAAGCAAAATAAATTCTAAAAATCATTGGCGACAAGCACCGGGCGGACCCGTGCGATCATGCGTTTTTTGCAGTATTTCGTGTTGTGATGAGATTGCTCGAAAACCTAGTAACTAGGATTTGTGATATAATGGTCCTCGAAGTTTGAAGACTGAATTGTCTACGCGATAATTGGACAGGAAACATTCCGTTAAAATTTCAGCTTTCCAACTTCTCTGGTTCTTGAGTTAACAATTTTCCTGCCAGAAAATTTCATGGGTCGGTAGGTGAGGACCACACGTATCTGGAAGTTGAATTTGATATCTTTAACTTTAGTTGGAGTGAAAACATACCCTTTAAAATTCAGCGCCCAGCTTTCCTATTTCCCGAGTTAACCATTTTTTCGCCAAAAAAATTTACAGGGCCGTACCTACGTGAGAACCACACATGCCTGGGGACTGACTTCAATAAATATGTTGTGTGCTGAGAACATTCCCTGAAAATTTCAGCCTCCTAGTTATTCTGGTTCCTGAGCTAAACCCGTTTTCCCGCCAAAAAATTTTACGGAGCCGTAGTGAGAAGAGTGCATGTCTGGGGCCTGAGTTCGATGATTTTAAGTTGTACGTTTGCTGGGAATATTCCCGAGCTAAT